ATTGCTAAGAAAGCAAGCTGAAGCAGGGAGAACATAACGCACTCATTCATGTACAGGGTTTTGTGAAGTGTCCACAGTAACTTAGGAAGTTGGGAGATAAGGAGATTCCCCAAGGCACATGCCAAAAGGACTAGAGAGAAGTAGGAAGATCATCAAAAACCCCAACAAATTACAGTATTTGAAGGAAACACAGTTGGTAAGTTTTGCGGGATTTTTTAAGAGTCCAAGTAACGCCAAAGCTGACCTCTTAAGTTGGGTTTCAGACACATTTGTTTCAGCAGTGCAGTGGTCTTACACAGAGCATCTGATTTATAGTTCTTAGGCTTTTTGTGTTTTTCTGCAGAAAGATAGTGTAAGCTTAGACACTGAGCTGAGTGTCAGAAAATCATGGTGTTCTTCACATCTTGGTCACTGACCTGCTGTGTGACCTTTGGAGTGTTGCTTCACCTCAGTATTTCTTGGTCTGCCCTGAATATCTTTGTTTGCTACGTCTGGTACAGCTGTGCTGCCTTTGTCTGCCCTAACTGTTCAAGATTATAAACTCCCTAAGATCCCAGGCATCTCTTGCTACACGTGTGAAGCTCTAATTTCTGTCAGTGCCTTTTTTTTCCTCTGTGTAAATAACTGTAATCTATGAAGTTTTAAAGGAATGATGGTAGTTTTGCTAGCACCTGTGTAAATCAGGGGAAATTTTGTTGAAACAAAGAATTTACAGCAGGCAAAAAATTAATATAAATGAGGTAGTACTTAAATGCAGGAGTAAATAGGACTTTAAATTATTATTATTGCCCATTTCACATAAATAGAATTTTAGAAACCAATATATTTTGACAGAAATATTCTGCCTGTCATCCCATGCTGATTATACATATTTCAACTCATTCTCTGCTATAAAGAAAACTATTTTTTTTCTGTTATAGGTCACAAAACATGGTAATTGTGCTGAAAATTTAGCAACAGTACAAAGAAAACTATGAAGTGTTTGCTGATACTTAACAACCAGCATCAGTCCAAAAATGATTGGGTATACAGTTCAAGTTTTGACAGTCCTAAAGCTTAATGTACAGGAGAGATTAGCTAATTGTAAAGCTGTAAAATTATATATGACCATAGGTCCCTCATATTAGTAGGTACCTGCTCTATGTTCCATAAATGAGGTGTCCAGCTGATGCAATAAATTCTATTAAAGGTATTACAAAGAATGTAATGAAAAAAAAGCAGATTTTTAGGACAAGATTTCAGGCATAAAGTAGGGTATCTGAGCAGTTCTCAAGAGAGGATTAGAAAACAAAAAGAGAAAAGCTGACTAGTAATACAAAGCCCCTTAATTTTTATTCACAGAGGGAATTTAAAAACATATTAAGTGTACCATTAAGAATATATGGTATATTCTCTACTGAAATATCAACTACATTGTACATTGGCCATAATAAGTCCATTGCTGTATCTTTATTTAAATATGGCTTGTTGTGAAGACAACCTAAAATTAAAAACTATCCATGACTTAAGTCACTTGTCTGTGTATTTAAATAAATTATTTTTTTTTAGAACATAGCACAATGTATTCCATTTCCTTTTCTTACAATGTCAAATACAGGCTGAAATATTTTCATTAACCTTCTCTATGGTTTTCTGCACCTGGAGATGGTTAAGAAAATGCAGTCAAAATAATATTCTCAATTTTGTACTCAGAAATATATGGTTATGAAGAAACCATTTGTTTTCAATTGTTTTGAATCCAGAAGCAATAGCAATTTTGCTGGAGTGTGTAGGATAAGGCATTTTGGAGAAATGGGGAGCCAGCCAAGGAAGAGTTGCAGTCCTAATGGGAAGTAGGAAATTCAAATCTTACTCTTGATAGGGATCAGATTATCAAATTTTATGCAACGCAGTTACTAATTTCATCACTATGTCTTATAATTCTTACTACATTTTATCTGGGTTTTTGAGGTCTGCAGTATTAAGTGCTAAGAAGCTTAAGTTTTGTATGCAAATACTGAAATCGTCAAGCCCTTTTTATACTGTATGACTTTTTATATGTATGACTTGAGGGATCTTCAGAAAAGCCACAGTGGATTTAGCTTTAGTAGTTGAAAAAGAAAGACTGTGAAAATTTGTGTACATTTCTTCAGATGTGTGGTTTGGGATGTTACAGAATTCACCTTTTCTAGTTCACAATCTGTCATCCATAGCTCAGAGCCATGGAGAAGGCAGGGCTGGGCTAGGATGCCAGACTGCAGACTGGAGATAGCTTTTGCTATTAGGATAGAAGAGAATGATAATATTTTAAATTACTTCAGCGAATTTTTCAGATCTTGTCTGTTGGAACCTTACTTAGGCTCATGTGTATTCAGGTTTGCCTGTGTTAATTGAAAAATCAGGAAATTGTGGAAAATCATGTTGTAAATGCAACTGTAGTATCATATTATTTTTTAAATTTAGACTGCAATGTCTCTATGTTTATGTATAGTGGAATTCTTTCAGGTCATTAGATGAGGCAATTCTTCCAGGCCATGCATGCTTTCATCTTCCACCTGCCTCTGTGAAATTGTGTGCACTATTCTCAGTGCCAATCAACATAAGACTGTTTTATTTAAATCATATATATTGGTCTGATATCTAGCTTTAGAGGATGTATTTCTTCCTTTCAGCTATTTATTGAATTAGCCTTAGAAACTTTTTCTCTCAGCCAGCTTTTAGGTGTCGCACTAATATTCTCTTAAATGTATATTTTTATTTTTGGGGGGTTCAGCAAATTCAGTGGCTTGTTTGCTTACTTTATTCTTAATGGAAAAGATAATAAAATCATATCTTAATTCCTCCAAGTACACAAAACTATGAGACACATAATTTGAACATATATTGATAGATTTTAGAACCATAGCAGAAACTGTGACTGTAGACAGGTAAATAAAACCAACTTATAGCCTTATAAATGTGGCCTGTGTGACATTGGTAAAATAATGTTATTACCACTTTAATATTTGTCTGCAGAAGTTTGAATGCTGAACTTGGTGAAGGAAGGTAAGATTGGTCTATATGTCCTCTATATCTTTACTTACAAGGCATCTGCTGGAGTCTCTAAAATGACATGTGATCTCTGGGAATCATAAGAATTAAATCAACCTCCTGAGGCTTTCTCATTCCCTTGGGTCAGAATGCTACATGTTATAGCCCTAAGCAAAACAAGTCTATTGTAGTAGTCTGGTTTTGTGTCTTGTCTTGTCCCTTTTCTGATAAAAAAACGTTATGCCTAGAAGGTGTGTTTTTTTCAAGTGAAAGAGCTTAGGTAATTTAAATATATAAACGTATATAAATACATATTAAATAACATTTAAAAAATGAAAATGCTATAGAAGAGTTTTCAGTCATATTGTGATATCAGTTTAGACATTGCTACTGAAAGTATTTTGAAAGTCATTTTTAGAGAGGCAATAAGGAAAAAAATAACTATAGTTTCATTGAATGCTTATTTCACCTGAAATGGTGTATGGCATCATCTCTTTGTGTCATTTTGTCCACTCATTCTGTTTTATTTTGTTGATTACTAGGTATTTGAGGTTGTAATATTTCTCAGCCTTTTTGCAGCATTAGGATCTGGCCTAAACTTGGGCCAGCAATAAATATTCCATCACATACTAGAGTTCTTTAAACTCAGTGTTCAGTTCTGTGAAATTTAGCTCTTATTATTCACAGACAGATCCAACATCTTCATAATGCTTTTGACTTTAGGAAACTAACCTTGTTTCAGAAAAGATGTTCCACTTCATTTTTGGTGTAATGCTTTGAGCCACGTCCATATGCTTTTCTAATCTACAAAACAAGTGTGTTTCTAAGAACACATCACCTGTATCTAAAGACATCTCCATATTGAACTACACACACAATACTACATGTAAAATTGTTCTGTACATTATATTCATCTATATGTTGGTGGTTGGACCTGGCCAGCAGCTAAACACCACATAGTTCTTTGTTGAATCCCTGCTTGCTCCCTTCCTCCAGTAAGACTGAGGAAAGAATAGGAAGAGCAAAAGTGAGAAAACTTGTGTGTTGGTAAGGACAGTTTAATAAAGGAAAGAAAGGGGAATAAATCCCCAAGGAATGTAGATCAATGCCTAGCCAGTCTCTGAGCAGACAAATCACCATCCCCCTCAGATTTTATTGTTCAGTGGTGTATGTGTGAAATGTCCCTTTGGTCACTTGGAGCCAGCTGTCCCAGCTGCATTCCCTCTCTACATTTTGTGCATTCCAAGCCCACTTGCCGAGGTGGCAGTGTGGCAAGCAGAAGACCCTGACACTGTGCCAGTGCTGCTTAGCAATGGCTGGTGTGTAATCAGCACTGGTTTACTTACAGATCCCAAACACTGCACCTTAGAAACTGTTGGAAGACATTTAACTTCATCTCCATTTGTGCTGTAAGATAAGCCAGAAGGAAAGACTGGCCTGGTTTAATAAAGACCTTAGTCTCAAACTTCTGACAAAGAAAGAGTGTAGCATCTATGGAAGGATGAACAGGTAATTTGGGGGAACTACAGAGATGTTATCAAGTATGTGGAGAGAAGATTAGAAGGGCCAAAGCTAACTGAACCTTAACTTGGCCATTGTGGTTCCAGACTAGCTGATCCTGAAGGTCTCTTTCAATTTTGATGATTCTGTGATCTCAGCCAGATGGAGCACACTGTTATTACTATTGTACAAAATACAGTAAAACTTAAAATTATCTATTAATTACTCTCTATTATCTATAATAATTACTTGTGAAACATGGCTTCTGCCATGAGATCTGCCCCAGTGCAAGACTGAAATCTGGCTATATGTAGGTACAGTGCTAGATAGCAATAGAATTTGCCTTGGAACCATTAAGTTTTATTATTATACAAACAATAGTAGTGTGTAGCTTAACATGTTAACTACAGGAAAAAAGTTTGGCATTGCCTTAGTCATACAACATTACTCAGGGCCATTGATCAAATTGTGTTTAGTCTAGGATCAGCAAGTGTCAGTGTTTTGGGATGTGAAGGCCTTATTAATAGTGTGCTGTCAGTGTCTTTATGTCACCAAGGCTTCTTTGAGTGTCTAATTAAATATGACCTTTTAATTGAAAGACGGGCTTTGTCTTCAAACACCTCAAAACTGGTAAAAGATGCACGTGCTAAGAAGTGATTACATGCTGAGGCCAAGTTTGAAAACAATTTATTCTTAAGAATGTATAATAAAAAAAATGGCTTATAGTAGAGATATTTCACAATTATTTGCAACCCAACATTGGTAATGTATACTATATAAATGATACGGAGTTGGTTGAGAAATCAACAATTGTTACTGATTATAAAGGATTATGAACTTTAAGATAATTTTTTTAGAATTTTAAGCTTTTTTTTTTTTCTAGTCAGATCAGTGGCAGTTGCAATGGTCTGACAAGAAGTGGCGTAGATTCATCTCAGGATTCAATCAAGAATTCCTATTCTAGTTAGTGGGTAGCAGCAAAGTGTGTCCCACAGGAAAAGCTCTGATGGTAACATCTAATTTAGGAAAACGGCTTTGCTAACAAAATATCTTACAGATTTGACAGCAAAAGAAAAAAACAAAGAGAAAAATCTCAAATCCTAGTGTTACTGGTACTAATAAAGGCATTGTTATAAATCAGTATATTACAGAAGTCATGTACTGCACTGATTTCATTTTAGGTAGCTCTCATCACCTATGTATGCTTATTAGTTTAAGAATAAGCAGTTTTGAAATACACAGAGGGAAATGTTTTAGTTCAAAATCTTACACCCAGCTCCAGAATGCATTGGATCAAATTCTTAATCACAGAACAATGTTATACTGGCTTCAATACACTCATCAGCAAAACCTGTATTGCTTAACTCTTGAATTTTTGTACTTTTGAGTTTGGAAATGAGTCCTAAAACCTGTGTGGCTTGAGACTGAACATTTCTGTATTGGAGCATGAACTGACATATAAATTAACTCACTAATAAGTAAACAATTTAGCACAAGAATACATTAGCATATGATGGATGAGAAAATATCAGAAGAAAAAGCAACTTAAAATCATAGGAAGACTATAACTTTTAAGCACTTATTTAGTGATCAAATTTATGTCAAAGTATTATGTCAATAAAATGAAAGAGGGAGGTTCAGAAATAGCTTGTCTCTAAGAATCCAATTTTAAAGTCCATAAAGTAACGTTATTTTTCACATATGGTTTGTGCTTCACATATGCTTTAGTGTATTTGAACTGCTCAAGGGACAGAGGAATTGAAGTGCAAGTCCTCCATATGTATGATCTGCTGTGATTATATATAAAGTGTATGCTTGCATATTAAGATCTATTAGTTGTAATTTCCTCTTTCTTTGATTTTTGTTTAAACTTGCTTTTTCTTTGTTCTTTTTTTCCTTTTTTTTTTTTAATTTTTAATTCCTTTTGTTTTAAATTAATTCTTCAGTGTCTTTCTGATACCTTTCTTTCTGGCACTTTCATTTCTGGAACTGTAGACGAAAAGCCAATTACACTGAAGCTGGAGTTTCTGTGTTTCAGTGTTGCTATCAGTTCATTCATGATGAACTTCTTTTAGAGTTTGGCTACACTAAAAACATCTATATAATAATGTCAAGTGACTATTGCCTGGCAATATTATTGTGTTTTCTAAGGCATTCCAGTGTGTGTGTAACATTATTTATTATCATGCCTTTTTTTTTTTTTTTTTTGGTCTTATTTTGGTTATTTGTCATTATTTGTAGCCTTTCCAAGTGGCTTTGCAGGTAATTTTCTTGATATTTTGTTCCTTTAATTTGCATTTCTCTTTGCATCAGGTTACAAATGCTCATCTTCTAGAATGATCACTTATGCCTGAGAGAGATCTTTTTTTAAAATATGGGAAGCTGACCAATTTGATTGAAAAAGTAGGGTTGAACTTACTTTTCCATTGTCAATTATATCTCCTATATGTTGCAAGAGCCAATTTTCTGTCTGATCATTTCAAATGCTACAAAAACATGTGATTTAACTGTGGTTTTTTTCATGGTGTGTGCTTTTCTATTTAGTGCTCCCTCTTCTCTTATTCTATTTCCTTCTATGAGCTTCTTTCAAGTTGCTCTAGGTGCTGCCCATTTCATTTCAAGTTTCTTCATTCCTCTTAGCTATGCACCTGCAGAGAGATAAGTTTATGTCTGAAATAGTTTGTTGGAAATTCTGTGGATGGAGGGACCCACACTTGAATCAGAAAACTGGACAAATGTCACTGAACCTCCTCTCCACAGATTTGTGGCAGGGTATTTCTAATATTTAATAATTAAATTTTATTAAATACAGAAAAATGTTGAGTAGGGAAATGGTAGGAAAAAGAAAAATCTTGGAATTGGATGAGTCTGCTGTGCCTTCATTGAAATATATTGGCAAATGCTCTCTAATGACTGATTTGGATACACTAGAGGCTGTAGAACACTTTACCCAAAATGCCAATAAACAGGCTTCATAATCCTGTTGTCAGTTCCTAGAAGATGAAGGCATTCTGTGGAAAAAGAGTTCTAAGGAGCTAATCAGCTACTGTTGAGATGTATCTTAAGATGAGCTAATAACATGAGCTTCTCTAGGATGATCAAAAAACGTCACCTTCTTGTCTCATTTTAAACTCAGCCTAGGTGTCTGTGTTTACAATCACAGTTCTGCTTGAGTCATGGAAGTTAAATATTCTAGGAGGATCTTCTGCAAATGTATTACTACTCTTGTTTGTTAGTCAACAATTTTCAAATAAAGTTGTCTTGCTCAGCTTTTGATGAAATCATTTTGTCATAGTTATATAAATATTAAACCAAAATTACTTCAGTTATAAAACTGATGAATTACACTGATGTTTAGTGTTATTTCATTGAACCAAAGAACTTAAGAAATATGAAAGGTAGGAATGTGGTAGCCAGAGCAGTCTTGAATTACCCTCTCTTGGTGGGAAAGAAAATTTCAGGTTTTGAATAAAGAGGTTTACTGGTGATCCTGCATGCAGAGAATGTCGATAAGTTTGTTTGGTTTTTTTTTTAAAAAGAGCTTTATTTGACCACAATGAAGCCTGACACTTATGTTCTTATTTCAAGAACATTTCTGTTATACTGGGTCAGGAAAGGATTTTGATTAATTCTGTGGAAGCTGCTTTGTCTTACTAATGATGGCTTTATAAAAATAGTTACTTTGCTAAAGACATACCAAAACAGTACATACATTTAAGAAAATAGTTTGGTTTACTGTATTAATTAATATTTTGTGTTCTAATTAGCATGTAATTTAATATTCCAACACGTATCTTGTTGAACCAATAACACAGAATGAAGATAATTCCCTTCTGAAGGAGTTTAGTCTAAATGATACTGTTTTTCCATATTATTTGTGCTACAAAAAAGTAGAGTATTTTTTGCTGATCATTTGTATTTTGTCTTCTAGAGTCTGACTGGAGATCTACAGCACAGTGTATAAGAGCTGAGAACAAAAATCAAACTGAAAAAAAAAGGAAGAAATGAAAGCATGCAAAAAAGGTCTTTCCCAAGAGAATCTTCGGCTGGCAGCATCTATCCTCGATGTTTCAACAACTGATCTTTATGAAATACTACAAGAAGGAGATGATGAGGTAAGTTATTTTAAGGACTTCAGTGAAAAAGGTGTAGATAAGAAGATGCTGACTATATCCCTCCTTGAGGAAAAGGATTTGCAGGTAAAGACTGAAATTTCATTGTGCAAGATACAGCACAGAAATCAAGGAGGATTTAATCTAAATGAAAAGGTCAGGTTAGAGATTCGTAAGGTGGCAAGACTTACAGCATGCATAAATATAAACATACTGCTTTGAGCATGTGTATGTGGGGATATTATTCAGTGTTTTCCTTTCTTCGTGAGGCTATTTGGCAGGATTGTACATTTTACATAGACTTCTGCATTAAAGAAAACAAAATTAGAATGTGTCTTGCTGTGCCAGATTGATTTTGTTGATACTTCCTTTCTGAATTGTGATACCTATTAAAGGTATTTCTGGTAGACAGATGGTTTCTGGGTGAATCATTGCCTTTTTAGTTGAATCTATCACACATTTTACTGTGAAATATTTGATAGTGTTTCATCAAATCAGTCTATTAAATAAATGCAGTGATAGGATTTCTTACCCAGATTTATTTAGTCCTGATCAAATAAGGTGTGAAAAAGTCTGTGCAGTTACTTTAGCAAGTGTCTAGGAGCTGGCATTATTGGCCTGTAACAGTACTCTGGTGATGACTTAGATTTAGCCTCGTTGGAGCTTAATATTAAAGAGGTCACGAAAAGGAAGTTTTCCCATTGGTTAAACAGTGCATGGTATGTGTATGCACTGATAGGGATTACACTCATGAATGCAAATAAAATGGACTGATCCCTGCCCTCTTTACTAACATTTATACAACCCTATAAAGTGATTCACTTTGACAGAGTTGTTCCATGCTATCTTATTCTCAGAGTAATTTCTACATCCTGTATCTTTTTGTTATAGTCACTATGAATATATGTGTAAAACACATTAAAGTATTTAACTATAAATATTAAAAAATGTTATTGGACAGGAGATGAATTTACACCACACATACACTATATATGCCATCTATTAGTGCATAGACTCAGGCACCCTTACGTGGAACTCATACAATTTAGACATAGATCACACATACACCAGTGTATTCATATGAAAAGTACATGGTATGCACATTTCTAGAGGCATGCACAGACAAGGGTAAGTTTAAAAATTTAATAGAGTACTGATACTTGGTGGGTGTGCTGCAGATAACTAATTTTGCAAATGTGATTCTGACTTCCACGTGCTTTATATTTAATGTATACCCAGTTACACATTTTCTTTATTGCTCCTGATGTTTTTATATTTTTAGGAAATAGCAAAGACAAAAATGGAATTTGAAAAAGATTCATATGCTACAGCATATCCAGAAACTTCTTGAAGCACAGGTGCTCAATTTATATCATCCTATAATGAATTATAACTTTCTGCTCTGATTAGCTAAGTGTTTTTAGGTTGTAATTAATACATTGTGTTTGTAATTATGGTGCCTTTGATGGTCTCAAACTGTATTGTGATGAGCAATGTGAAATCCTTGTCTTGTAGCATTTCCTTTATTTCTCTTCAAAACAGAGATACTGTATAAAACTGAAGAGATGTTAATCAAGAATTTGTGATAGCTAACTTAACAGCTAACTTAAGCTAACCTAACCAACCTAACCAATAAAACAATGCTGGAGGAAACAAGCAAAGATCTTGGCAAATGTGTTAATTGAATTATTGAAACACTGTATAATGCTTGCTAGAGTGAAAATTATCTGTTCTCTCATACCTCTTAGGAAAAAGAGACTTTTTTTATGTGCCTTTAAAGTTACTAGTTGTTATGGACACCTGAGGAGTTCATGGGTTTTTGTGACCTTTTACTGTGGACCTGTTTCCAGTCAATTCATGTTTTCCTCATAGCCAGACAGCTGTTTATTATCGTGTCTTCTCGCATTCTCTACAATATTTTCTACTGAGACCTCGAGCAGCTTGTTAGTGGGAAGTAAATATTGATTTGGCATCCTGTCAATGCAGAAAGAATGAAAAAATTTCCACCAGAGGCCCCTCAAACATTTTCCTATCGACATTTTCTGGGCAGAGAGGAAAGCTGCATAGAGGATGACAAGTCTGAGACTAGCAGAAATCCCTGAGGGGTCCATTGAGACTGCTGCTGTGACCTGTGTGATACTTTTTCTTCTCTTTCAAGTCCTTTTTTTTAATACACACAGAGTCTGCTGGGATGCTCCCCTCTTGTAAGTGATCAAGGGCAGTTTATTGGCAGGTGAGAGCCCAGCTTTTCTAGCCATAGTCAGCTTTTGTTTGGACATCACTGACAACATACACTGACTCTTAAAACTTTTCTATTGTATTTTTAGTTGTCTCTTTTATTTGAATGATGGGCAGCTGATGTCTGGAAAGAAATAAAACTTGATTTGTACATCCAGTGTTCCTTATGCATATTCACGAACATGGGTCCATTAGTGATGTAGTTAATATCAGTTAAGAATGTGAATGATTGAAAATATTTTGAAATCTATTTTAAAGGAACATTCACATCAGATTTATGTATTTTACCATCAACAACTTTAGTGTTGAGATTGTATCCCGTGACCAGATTTTTAAGAAATAACAGATTTTCCCTCTTTCATAATCAAAACTTACTGCTATGAAGACTGCTTAATTGGTGCAGCAGAGGAGGTAGAAATATCAGCATGCTTTTACTGGCTTTCTCAGGAAAACTGTCATTTTAATTAAACCTCAAAATACTACATGAAATGCAGCATTAAAAGCACAATAATTTATATTCACTTAGTTACCTTAATTTTAATAATTTTCAAATATATATATAAATTTCAAGATTTTGTTCATTTTATGGTCTCCAGAATATAGATCAGATTCATGGAACACAATGAAGACTTCTTGTTCTGTTTTTTGTTGTTATTTGGTAAATCACTAAAAAAACACTAAGCAGAATTTTGTCAGTTTTCTTCATCTGCTATAGACAGACAGCAAAAAGGAGGGGATGGAGAGTGAAGGAACTGTTGAATGAAACCAGGTATATTAAGACTGCAAATGTTATATAGGATAGAAGACCTCATTGTTCTTAGCCATGTACATTTGTGTACAAGTTACGAGTGATTTTCTGTGATTTTTGCTCCATCTTGTGGGGTTCCTCAGAAGAAACACTGAGGGTAGAAGTAATTTTTGGCAAGCAGACCATTTTTAGATTTACAGGAGGATTATCATGGTTTTGGGGAGCAGCCAACTCTGCTTTTCATTTCTGCCCATGCTAAGGCACATAGATGGGCACAGTTAAGATTTCTTCATCTGAATTTGTGAGAAGCTCATGGAACAGCTCTGTGCCCTTTAAAATGCTTTACTCATATCTTGCAGTTTGGTTGTGGTTTCTTTTAGTAAGCTTTGGCAGTATTTCTGATCAGCAAGCTAAAGCCCATGGTGAAAAGTAAGCTTTCTTCAGGGTTTTGCTCATAAAAGACTGCCTGCTAAGTGTTACGTGTTGGCAAACTGTGTTATCCATTTGCATTTTGAACAAAGATGCAGGATTGCCCTTTTCTGTTATTCTGAGTAAACCTTCAGTGGAAAGCTGCATCAGATGACTTAATATTGCAGTTTGATATAGTGTCTTTTTGTGCCATTGAGCCAGGACTTTGGAACATAATTGCCCAGCAGTATTGATTTAATTGCCTAGGTTTATTTGTGGACTCCTAATTATTGACTGGAGGTAAATTTAATGGAGAAACCTTTATGAACACTGGGAAACTGCTGCTATTGCTGTTATACATAATGAACTGCATCATATCACTTTAGATCATTCTTCAAGCTAATTTTATTCTACTGTGACAGTACGATAACATTTAAAATGTCATGGACATTTTATTGTTATTACTGACATACGCCATTTTACTGCTGCACTAGAATTTTGGGGGGGACTGTGTGAAGCACCAGTTGTTTTTTACTGTCATTTCATAGATTCCCTAAAGTGTAATGATAAAGGATACTACAACTCTGTTTTCACTTCATCTCTACCTTTATTTTCCATACTTTTATGACTTATAAAAGTCTCTTATCTGTCAGCTTTACAAGAATCTTAATATTTTAGTGATAAATACTCTTGCATTCCAGAATTCACAGATACCAGTCAGAGTTTGTGTCCTCATTTTATCAGCCACTATGTCAAGAAACTAGACCACTACTAAGAGGCTTATGATTTGAAAGAGACCTCTCTGAATAGCGATGTTAGTATGTAAATAAGAATCATATAACAGGAAAGTACAATCATATTATAAACTCAGCAGAGCTAGTAACAATCATTTGTCTAAATCTACATCTTGAATGGCCAAGAAGTGGTTTTTTTTTTCTGTTATCTCTCTGTATTTGTACAGTAACACTCTAGATTGTTCTCACTAAAGAATAAAAGAATAAAAATAAATAATCTCAATAACTGATTCTGGGACAAAAGGAAAAGGCTCTCTGGCCCATGAAGAGCCTGTATGTGGAGAGTTTTCACATGAGTGCACACAGATACTTGCTACCTGTGTGTGTGTAGAGGCGTCAGACTAATTACATATTACTGTTCGGGCTTGGGAGAAGTGTCACATTGTAGACATTTGAGCTTTTAGTGGTTTATATTATTTAGGGAGGAATAAGTATGATTATCTCAACATGTATGTGTACTTACATCTTGCAGGGCAAATTATGAGCTTTTACCCACTTTATCCCTCACACCTGAGTGTTTATAGTTTATTAATTAAGCCTGGCTCTTCATAGTAGCACTCTCTTCTTATAATCATAAAAACTCTCCCTAAAAACTAAAATGAAACAGCAATCTTTTCCAGCTTTCCCCCATCATAGGAAACCTATGGCTAAGCCAAGCCAATGACTTCTTCTCATGTAATTCAAACATAGTTTCTTACACTACCCTTGGCTTTCATTTACTGTGACTTATTGTAAGGAGCACCATGTAGGAAAAATCTGTTAATAATTTTGTGTGTGGTGAGTACAGCATGGCAGCCCAATCCAGATTACTGCTGGAAGTCTCCAAGAATTATTTTTTAATAAAATGCAAATAATCTGCTTAAGTTTTCCAAGCACTGAAGCAAATGACAGCATTGATTTAGCATGTCCCTGTGAGATCCGCAGCAGCACTTGCCTTTCCTCCGTCCTCATGCACTCCTTGGAATATGACATCTTGCACTAACAAAGCTGCCTAATAAATTCTTTCCTCTCGTGACTTCATTATGGGTATAAAAGTCATATTCCAATAGTGAAAACCTCCAGAAAGGCTCCCTTTCCTCTGTTCTGTGGGCACTCTGTGTAACACATCTCTAGAACAGGGTTTAAAGAGTATATTCATTAATCGTCAGAAAGGATATTCCCCAACCCCTTTTTAGGATTTGCACAGGCTTCTAAATACGCATTTCTGTTGCTGTCATTTGGGAATGGACACTCACGGCCACAGTTGTTCCTTCCAAATTCTTGGCTTGTAACTTGCCTGCTTTGCTTTCATTAGTCTCTCTCCAGTCTGTGTGTGTCTTTGAACAGCTCACACCCAAAGTGTGTGTTCACCCATGTACAACCACCTGTGCACAATCACCACTGCTGCCACACCAGGTGTTTCAAGTACCTGCACCTTAGAAAGCAGCACCAGCACAGTCTGAACCTCATTCTGGGCACCATTAGCACTGATACCAAATCATGATTTTCTTCTCATTATGAGAATAAGAGCATAGTCCTGCACACTGACAATGCATTATGGTATAAATCTGTGTTTTATCTCCTGTGTACAAACTAAACTAACTTACATCACTCATCCTGAACTGAAAATAAAGGGAAATTGGCTTGGTCACTCAGGATAAAAGGCACACATATCTTTATATAATGATGTATATGCAGCCAAAGACAAAAAACTACAATAAAGTGAAGCATTTCTCTCTTTTTTAAAAATGTTGACTTTTATTCTTAGTGAAATTAGGATGTTTTAGTTATTGGTCTTAGTGGCTAGTTTTTGGGTTTGGTTTGGTTTTTTTGGGGGAGGGGGGGTTTGTGGGGGGGATTGTGGTTTTTTTTGTTTTTGTGGTTCATTTAATTCAATCTAGGGCAGCTCTGCAGGTGTTTGAGTAGTTTTTTGTTGGGAAAATGTATTACACTGATGATCCATATAGGAAGGTGTGAAATAGTTGTAACAAATAATTAGTAGATTCCAAAACCTAAATACTTTTACTTTTATGGTAATACATTTTAGAGTTTGTGAAGCAGACGTTGAAGTAATGCTACACTCTGCAAATGGAGATGCTGTGTCTCGTTAGAACAAAAACATTGCCTTGCATTCAGTATAAGACTTTTCACTGGCAGATCGGTGTATATTTATGCACTTCTGCTGACAGAGACCCAGTCATGTGGTTTAAGGTCAATAAATATTACTAGGTTTTTTTTTTTTTTTTTAAAGAGATCTCCAAAAAAACCAAACTTAGGGTCAGAATAAATAGGTAGAGAAGGAGAATTAACTGTCACTATTTCTGACTTTAGGAACACATTACCTTACATTTATCTGTAATATATCTGTCTGATAAGTTGTGTAAGAAAAATGACTTTCACTCATATAGCTTCCTATTATCAAAGAAGAAATTTGTAAATCTGGGAAGTCAAATAAATAACTAAAATTCTTTTAATGCAGATGTAGTTTGCACATTCAACACAGATGTTATGATATTATATGGATCAACTAAATACTATTTCTGTTAAAGCCTACCATAATGTACTGATTTGGGATCACCACAATTAATGTTAAGTGGGTTGTGGCACAGATAATTGTAAAAATCGGAAAGAAGTATCATTCTGTATGAAAATATCTAATGATCAGTGGTAAAAAGCTTTCACTCCTTAGGTGTGCACTTAGCACTCATTGAACTTCCAATGCCTTCTCCAAGCATATGGCATATTTTGAAGCTGGGATAAATGCTTTAGAGATGACTTCAATGGTTGTGAAGTTCTGGGGAGAAACATAAAGGGCAGTTTCCCAGGATAGTTACAGAGCCATCATTAAAAGTTAGTCTAACAAGCTTCTATTAAAGATTCACACTGTAGAGATCATCCAGTTCTGGGTGTCTGCAAGGAAAGAAAACCAGAGAGAAACATGCAGCACTTTCTCTGAAACCAACAAGTGTTGAAAGAATGACATAATGCTCCACTTTCAAATGCTCTTGATTTAAATGAATCACTTAAATGGCAATAGTTCTTGAAAGATCACTTTGCTGTGACATGGAAGCCGCAGAAAGTAGTGAGCAGCAAGTAAAATGTAGTTAGAATGATACGAGCCAGACATCAATAAGAAGCCATTCATCTCAGGCACAGCATTAAGGAGGTGAAATGTATCAGAAATGGATGTAGTCAAGTTAGGCAAGAAGAATTAGAGACTTTGAGGTAATGATACGGTGTTCTCATAAAATACATACCTAGAAAAAGAGGGAGAGAAGTTGGAGTGAACAGTGCTGGAGTCAGTGTTTTTAAAGCACAGTAGCAAGTAAGCGTCCCAGAATTTCAGATAAGATTATGTCTTATATTACACAGAATAGATTTATGCTCCGTGAATTTCAGCCCTCTATTCCCCAAAAAGTCATCAAAATAGCACACAGGAGAAAGCTGACAGGTGTAGATGTCTTCTGGAAATTTCTTATCACACACATAAGTTATTTATGACAGGTGCAGACATGTCTGGCCAGCAAGCACCAGCCCTTGAAAACTCCTTTCCGTGTAGAAAAAGGAAATAATACATACTGTCCTTTTTCTGTCACTACAAAGTGACTGTTGAGCAGCATGTAGGAGTGCCATTGTAGCTCTTCACAATACATGCCTTCTATTAACAAGATTTTCCTTTTTTAGATTTTTCTGACTTGTTAGCAATTATAAATATCAGTATATAGATTCATGTTTTCATATCAGTTCAAATGTTACATTTTGTATTTGATGTGCTTTGGTGTTTGGTGTGATTTGATGGCTGGGATTTTTATTTATTTCTTTTATTTATTTTTGTTTCATGTCTATCTAGGAAACAAGCACTACTCTATCTGGTGTAAGGACCATACAATTTTCTCTTTCAGATGGAATAGAGAAGTAAAATAAAGAAACTAGAGCAGTAATACTTGAAGTCTGGAACAAGACAGGAGTTCTAGATGGAAAGGTGTTTCTTTGAAGTAAAGTTTCGAAAAGCAGAAAATGATGATTGGCCAGCAGCTTGTTCCACCAGCTTCTATATTTTACCTTATTTATTTCTGGTGGCTTTATAATGTAAATTATCTCTCCTTCTGAATGAGTTGTTACTTTTGGCGTGGTACTGACCCCTCAGTCACCACTGGCCTCATCATGTGTTCAGTAAGCTGAGAGAGTTCTGTGAAGCTGGTAGAGACTTTTCAACAGAGAAGGAAAACTGTCCTGTTCTCCTCTGGCACAGCACCAGCCACTCTGGATCGAGCTGCCACCACCACTGTTCTGTGCCACCTCTAAAACACTTCCCAGCAAACAGTGCACTGATACGCCAAGACTTTGAAAGAAAACCCCTTTAAGCATTAAAGTGATGACTCTGAGAAATGTATCAAATCTCCTTTGAAGACATTGGTTGTGCAAATGCATCTTTTATATCAGAGAAGTTGAAAGAGGTTTAATTTTTTCCCTGTAGATATATCAATACAATTTTTTGGTATCATGTTTTAGAGAAGCAGACATTTGTGTCATATTCCAGTTAATGCATTTGGAGGTTTAAGATTTTACTTTACTTTGAGATTTTTTTGTTGTTTTGTTTGTTTGTTTTGTTTTGGGGTTTTGTAGTTGTTTATTTTGCAGAGTTTTTGTTGTTGTTGTTTTTAAATTATTTACAAGGTTTTGAGTGTGAGTCTAAGGCAATTTACTACAGCATTGAGAATTATACTGGTAGCTCTGTCTCGTCCTCCTGAGAGTAGTGAACTTACACTCATACACTACCATTTCTGCATGCCCTAGAGGTGACTGTAACCTTTTATTGATCAGCTGATTGAAGATAAATGACAGAGATGCTGGTACTGCAGTTTACATCATTAACATGGTCAGTAAAGCATGAATTGTTCAATAAGGAGTTTATCTTTTTTCATTTTACGCTGCTCTTTTATCATTTTTATGATAGGGAGCAAATTTTCAGACACTAACCAGGCAGATGAACTTTAAAGATCAGAAATATGTATGTGGTAGTTGTCAGAACTAAGTGAAATCTGATAGTTTAAAGATATTTAATAAATGTATTTCACATGAAGAAAATAAAGTTCAATGATCATTTTTCTTACTCTGTTTCTTTTTCAGTTTCCCTTTGCCTCATACTTAATGGATGCTGTACTGGAAAAATTAAATGGGAAGAAGAAATTGTTAGAAGAATACAGTTCCCTCATGAAGCACACTGTAGGATATTCCTAAGATTTATATTTGCAAAGTGTGACTAAAATGTGTGCTGTTTGTCTTTCCTCATGTCTTTCCTCTTCTCATAAAGAACCGTCAATATGCGTGTTCAATACATACACAGAAACCATGAACTAATTAATTGTTGAACAAGAGGAATTAATTAAATTCCTTATTAGAAAGCAGTGTGGTATTTGATTCCTGAAGAGAAAAATTGCTGCAAATCAATGCAAAGCTCAAAATTGTTTTCCTTTAAATGCATTGGCAGTGAACACATAAACAGGCTTTGTACAGAGAGGATGTTTTTGTTATGACTAATACACATTTCTACTATTTTGAAAGAACAAAAAGCAGCCAAGTAACACCTGATTTTACTAGTCAGAGCAGTAGAAGTAGGATTTACAAAGGAACTGGGAATATCACTGGGATTTTGAATACCTAATTTTTAGGCATTTTTTAGCTTCTTCATAAAGCCCAACTTTATGATACATGCTACATAAAAATATACGCTTTTATGTTAGAAAAAAATGAATGATTGTAGAATAAAAGTATCCTGTGTGGAGTAATACAGGAAAAGTTGTATTGTCTTCTGAGCATACTGGAGCATAATGTGTGCAATGTATTTTAAAAATTCAATAAATTTTTTTCTATTATGTTTTTTTTCACTAGTAGATCCGATTCTTTCTCAGCTAACAAGTAGCTGCAAGCTCTCACTTGCCTTGGGAAAGTAGTGTAGAGTTTTAGTCAGGTATTTCCACCTAAATTTCCCTGGCAGTACTAACAAATAATTGCTGTTTCCTCACGTTTTTGATCTTAGAGTTGAATTCCTCTGGACCAACTCACCTGACAAAAAACCAAGATGCTAGTTTCTGACTTCATGTGTAAGTAATTTTTAACTCTTACATATGTCTCATTTATGGATATAAAGTTGTTTTACAACAGATCTCATTATCCATATTGGGTGGGGAATCAGAATAAAAAATCTATTTGGACTAAGTTCATTTAAATGAAGCATGAACCACAGGTTTTCTGCTTGTCCGTCCAGTGCTTTTCCTAGGATGTAATTATGTATCTTCTAATTTATGGAGTTTACTGTTTGATGTCTCTAACAAAAGGAAGACATCTCTAAAGTTTTACTCAATTGCATCTGGTGAACACAGGGACTTGAGAGAATTTTTATTGGAATTAGAGAAAATCATGCAAACATATTCCACTTGCACTTGTAAATTAAGACTGGGAACTAGCCCTGTATAAAAAACTGCCATGTCTTTAGAAATGGTTGACCACCACCTTTTTCAATGTAAGAAATAAGGGCCATCACATGAAATTGTGTGGTGATAAAGTAAGCAAAAGGATGCCACTCACATGCAAATGAAACCGAGCTGTCAGAACAGTTTGCCTCAGGTTTTACAGAAGCTAAAAATTTTCATGGACTTCAATGCCAATAAAATAATGACAACAAAAATTAAGGAAGATAAATCCATCAAGATATGTAGAAACCATGTTCTTATGTTGTTCAGTAATTCCAGCAAGATACATTTGAACATGATTTCAACAAAGCCTCTAATACAGCTTAGGGAAAAGAGCTTCAGGAGGCCAAAGATCTCTGAAAATTATCCTCATTGTCTTTATTTCCACATTGCCAAACACGTGCTGGTGCAAGTCTGATCTTGGTGCTGATCTTTAACACTTGAGGTTTTGTCATAGTGAAGATGCAGGGAACATCAGCTGATTTGCATAGAAAATACATCTCAAAAAGAGGGAATTTTACTCTTTGTCTCATAACAAACATCTTGCTTTATTGTCCCTGCAAATTTCTGTATCTCCTGGGCAACTGGTACAAAGAGATATCTTTTCGTGGTGCAAGAGTAAACAAGAACACTGCATAACGAAATTATTATCTACTTCATCGGAAAAGAGAGAGCAAAATGAAATCCTTAGACCCAGCTGGAGACAGATTTTTGCACAAATGCTCCTGAAAGTATAACAGTGCTGTCTCTCTGAAAACTTTGCTGGTAAGTTTGCCAAGTATCTTTGCCAAGTATCTTTGAAGACCTTTCTTAATCTTTTAAAAGTCTTTGAATGATAGTTTCACTCAAAATTTAATTTATTCTCTAGTTTGATATAAAAAACAAAAATGGAAATACCAGTCAACATTTTTCTGAGATAAAAAGTCATGTAGTTTGAGGGATATTTGTAAGGACAAAAAAGGATGACACTTCAAATAAAACAAATTTTTGCCTTTTGCTGACACAAATGTTGAGTTCTCTCTGTGATGAATATACTTGTTTTTACTACTTTTTTGACATTTCCTGCACCAGCAGAGCAGGAGATGGTCTCTGAAAAGATTCTTATGACTGTAAAAATAGTAAAGGTAATTATTTTTGTTATGTTTTATGAATATTTTAAAAATCCCCTTACACTAGAACCAAGCTCATTACACTGAGTGAAGAACTGATTCTGATTTGAGGAAAAGCATTAGATCAGCACTTTCAAGATGATGTTGCTAACAAAGCTAAACATTAAATATATTAAAGGCAGTGCTCTTTTGAACTAATTAAGCCTATGGACATCCAGAAAATCCACTTAATCTGTTTTTGTTTTAAGGAGTTTTCTCTCCCGGTGCTGCCTGATACAGCCTCTAGATGGCAAACTTTCCCAAAAAATGGGCTCGGTGCTCTGATCCCTGCAGGATCTGCGCTACTTTGTCAGGCAGGCTTGTCCCTCTGGCAGGAGCAGCTGACATCTGCTGTGCCTGTGACATTAGTGGGCTGTTTACAGTCATTAATACAGCGACACAAGAGTGAGGCCCTGAAATACTGCAGGTGTTATATTCATACATACATACACACATACATATGTATAAAATTATATGCGTATATATATGTATACAAAAACACGTGTGTGTGTGTGTGTGTGTGTGTGTGTGTGTGTGTGTGAGCGTGTTTATGCACGCGTTCATTAAATATGAAATATGCACAGTTGTAAGGTATTTCAAAGTTGTTTAAATGTTTAGTCTTTTCAAAAGTCTCATCATGAACTTGTAGGTCCACAGGAGGGTGTGAGAGGCTGAAATGTTGATGTTTAAACCTCAAACAATTGGGTGTTTTGCTGTCGATGTTCAAGGAAACAAGCCGTGTGCAGGGGGTGTGAGCACCAGAGGATGACCGTGACAAATTAACCCTTGCTTAGCAAGAAGCTGGGGTTTGAGCTAGATAAGGGAAGAGGCTGATAGCAGATCCTGTGAGGTGGGATAATGCTTTTAATTCTAGTAGGGTCATCCCTTACACGACTGGCTCAGTTGTAAAACTCCTCTCCCACCTCCCCCCAGGAAAAGCTACTGAGACATTCACATTATTCATCCCTTTTGATGGAGTGTAGTTTACTCGATTATGCTGAAGTGAGAGAACGTGTCATAAACCCCCAAAATGCCCCCAGAGTAATTTCTGAGGTCTTCTACCAGAGGAATGGGCATGATCCACGGTTTTACAACATGATTCAGTGTTGCATCAGACAGTGTAAAAGTCCCTACCCCTGAGGAAGTACCTGGGTGTTCCACCTGAACTTGAGAGTATATTAACCCACTGAACTTTGTGTTTCGTGGTTTTCCCCTACCCCAGATTGATAAAGACTGTGACCATCATTTCAACTAATGGACATCAAAATTGCAACAATGAAGTCTCATTGATGGAGCCACAGGTGGTGATCTTTTTTTCTACCATTATCCTTTCTTTTTCTTTCTCTCTTTGCTCTCCAAACTTTTTCTCAAAATATATTGTAAGCCAGACTAAAAAATTCCAGTCAATGCCTTAGTAAGTGCTTTGTGTCTGGATAGGATGAAGTTGGCTAATTTTAAGTTTGCTAAGTTCAAGTTTGTGAAGAACCTTACTTACTTTGTTGGTGTTCTAAAATTTGCCGCATTGCCCAGAGTGAATTAAACAATGTTCCTCTAAACTTGCCGAGGGGAGTGAGGCATAACCGAGGGCTGCAAAGACAATCTGTGGGCTGGAGCGCCTCTCCTGTGAAGAAGGACTGAGAGAACCACTGGAGTGGTTCAGTGTGAAGAAGAGGAGGCTCTGGGAAAACCTCAGAGCAGCCTTCCAGTACCTAAAGGGGCCAACAAGAGGTCTGGAGAGAAAGGGTATGTTGTAGTAGTAGGACCAGCGGGAATGGCTTTAAGTTGAAGAATGTGTTTAGGTTAGATGTTAGGATTCCCCGTCTCTGGAATTGTTCAAGGCAAGGGTGGATGGGGCTTTGAGCCACCTGTGGAAGGTGTCCCTGCCCATGGGAGGAGGTTGGAATGGTGATCTTTAAGGTCCCTTCCAACCCAAACCATTCTAGTCAAAGTATCTGGCACTTCTCAGTATGTTCCTGTAGTGCCATCTGTTTAACCCACACAAATCCTAATTTACCTTGATAGGAATAAAGGTCTTCCTAAATGTAGATCTCTTATATAAATGTGATCCATTTTCTTCTGTACTGTAGATTCTCTGTTAGAGAAGGCACTCTGTGTGTCTCCCCATGTGCCCCTGGACTTCCTCATTGAATGGGTTGCAATTTTCAAGGCCAGGTATTCTAAATAAGACTGAAGTGTAAGTGTAAGACCTAATAGGAGGAGTTCAGGGAAAGATTTAAAACATCTCAAAGTATTCATGTAATAGCTCTTTTTTTTTTTTTTTTTTTGTAGTCTTGACAGGAAGAAACTTGTTTGAAGCGTTATGTTTTCTCTGTAGTGTCTATGTTCTCATACATAGACTAAGGATCTATTCTTGAGGTTTCCTGATTTGTGATTTGAGAATTCCCAATGGGTAACTATTTGAAATGTCTTGTAGCATAATAAATGATTGAGAGAGATGGGAACAGTCCTTGACTTCTGCTATAATCACAGATTTAGAAATTAATTAATTTGTGTTGCTGGCTATGTTAAGTTTTTGGTGTTTATCTTTAGGATTGCAGACAGGCTATGGAACCAGGGAGGGCTGAATTTTAATTCTGTTGTACCTTCAGCTAGGTTAGTTCTCTTTCCTGTTTCTCTTCTACAACAGAGTTAATATCTACACTCTACAATACAATATCCATAATACGCTACAAGATAAATACCAGAATAAGGAAAACAAAAGATAATTTCCACAGTTTTGTGCCATTGTACACAGTTTGTG